TGTATTAACTTTGGACCACTTGTCCACCCTTCCCCCAACCCCTTTTATTCGATTGTTTAAAGTACACAACTTGCCCCCAAGTTAAATCTTTAAGATGTTGTTTGGGAACTAACCCGACCAAGTGTTGGAAAAAGGCTCGATTTACAATCGAAGTAAAAAGATTTCTGAGATTAAGAGAAAGTATTCCTGTCAGATAAAATGTAGATGTGTCTCATGTACGAAGAAAAAAATCCTGTAGGATTATATCATTAAATGTTATAAGACTTACAGAGTGCTGACCTTCATTGAAAAGCGCCGAAGAGCAGACTACCAGCCTCACGGAGTTAACTATGCATGACATCAAGTATACAGTAATACAAAGTAGCAAGGAAGCAAAAGGCCCGTAATGATTAACAAAAAATGTGGGAAATACATGCTGTATAAAATTCTTTTCAGTCCCGATTCGGAAAAAAGAAAGGATTTTATCAAGTCTTGCATACAGAATAATCTTGACATATTTTTGCAAGGATAAACAATGCTATTGAACAACAAAGTAAACAAGCCTCCATTCTCACATCAAAACTCAAGTTAAATAGTCACCCTCCGCCTTTTTCTCTCTTATCTTCTTCTTTCCGTTCTTCCCACTCCTCTTCCTTCTGCTCTTCCTCCTTCTCATCATCATCATCATCATCATCATCATCATCATCATCATCATCATCATCATCATCATCATCATCATCATCATCATCATCATCATCATCATCATCATCATCATCATCATCACAAACATCACCGCCACCACCAATACAAAACAGCAGCAACAACAACAACAAGAAAAACAAGAAGAAGAACAGCAGCACAACGGTAGCAACAAATACACCAACCACAACAACCACACGATAACTAAAAGTAATTAGAATTGCAAGCTGTCAAAAAATGGGTCAGAAAAAGAAGAAATGGTATCCTCTCAATTTCCCCAACATGATGGAATGAAGGTCAACTTTACATTCCAGCATCAATAACACCTTGAGCTTGCAGGGACGACAGAACAACATACAGAACCCAAAACGTGAACGTAATCAAGGCAGAAGCGGCTTTCGGACTGGTCGGCCCTCCAAGTTCCCCTTTCCCGAAGATGGACAGAGTCCGTCGACAGACGAGTAAGCTCAGCACTAGGACAGCAAACACGGTGAACAGTGTCACGCTGAACGCCAGCGAGTCTGTGGGGTACTCGAATTTGGAGCCCTGTAGAGAAAGGGAATGTACTTTAGCAGGTATATTGCTAATAATATTAATAATAATAATAATAATAATAATAATAATAATAATAATAATAATAATAATAATAATAATAATAATAATAATAATAAAAAAAATAATCCTATTGATAGTAATAATGATAATCATCATTTGATGATGATGATGATGATGATGATGATGAGGATGATGATGATGATGATGATGATGATGATGATGATGATGATGATGATGATGATGATGATGATGATGATGATGATGATGATGGTGATGATGATGATGATGATCATGATTATGATCATGATGATAATAAATAGTAATGATGATGATATTATTAACTTATTTCACTCAAAGAGAAAATATAAAAGATATGTAAGATTTTAAAAGTTAAGTCTGTTTTTTAATATAATATCATACTTTCAAATGGGAAGTAATTCTATGAAAAATACATATGGCGTGTATTGAAACAACAACAACAACAAACAAACAAACAAAAAATTTGTGATAGCAAAAACAATTTCAGCAGCTGCAACAACAACAACAGCAACAACAACAAGAGTAGCAGCAACAGCAGCAAAATTGCATCCGCAAACGTTAAAAACGATTAAATTGGAAAAAAACAACAACCAAAAATCATTGACAGCAACATAATTATAATATTAAAGCTACGAGCCTAATGATAATAATATTATTGTCCGAGTTCTGACCTTGACCCCCCAGTAAATGGTGGCCAGTAACCAGGGCAGGCCCAGGCCCAGGAACACGTTGACGCTGTTGCTGCCGTTGATGTTTCCGATGGAGGAATCGGCCCATTTCTCGTTGATGGCTGCACTGCGAGAGGCGAACGTGTCCGGCATACTAGTGCCCAGCGCCACAAAGGTGATAGCTGTAGAGGGAAACGAGAGGTTCATCAAACAACCAAGATTTGAATAATAATAATAATAATAATAATAATAATAATAATAATAATAATAATAATAATGAAGGTTTGGTTTCATTTCAAGCTTTGATGTTTGAATGTTCTTGAAAACTGCAAGGTCCATTGTTTGTGACTTAAATCAACGTTTTTCAGTAAAATCCAAAGAAAGTGTGTTTTTTTAATGCACATAACACACACACACACAC